TCCCATTTTGTTAAGCACCAAATAAACATATTAAAAAGTATGATAAAAATAAAACTTTTATTCAAAGGTATTAAACTTGTAAGCACAATATAAGCATTCCTTTTAAATAAAACAACAGAAGCCAAACAAATAGTAAACAATAAATGTCAAACTAAAATAGAGTCTATAAAAATAAAGTGTCAGGTTGTCATGCAGACACCCTTATTTCAAGTAAGTGCATCTAGAAAAGTAAAAATAAAAAACAGAACACAAAACCTAGACTACATGTTAAATTAATGAATTACTTTTTGCCCGAATATAAAAAAAAAATTATTCCGTCACATAATAATTTGTTTGAGAATGTTGGCCACTGGTGCGTTCTGCGAATGCGTGCCACCATCTTGGAGGCGGGGAGCATGATGTCACATGACGCCATGCATGCGTGGCGTCAGGTGACGTCACACGCCGATATAGTCACCACCATCTTGGTGTATACCTAGATATACAACAAGATGGCGGTGCCCAACACGTGCGGTGTCATGCGCCCTGCATCCAGAATACGCCAGTGGCTGAATCCAAAACAGCATAAAAAATTGTTTTGTTTGATGAAACGAATGAAAACGTTTTTAGTTTTCGTTCATTTCATCTGAAATAAATTTTTAGTTTTTGCACATGTCTAATAATACGTGTGTGTGGGGGGTAGTTTTAACTTTTTTAAAATATTTTTTTACATTTTTTTTTTTACTGTTGGGGGGCTTTGAGGAAACATCAGAGGTCTAAACAGACCCCTGACATTTACCTTTTAAAATAGAAAAGAAATTGAGGACACAAAGTCCTCAATTTCTTTTTCTGCAGCCTCTGTTCTAAATGGATGGAAAGCACTCGATTCAGATGCTTCCCATTTATTCAGACACTGATGATAGTAAAATACTTACTTTCACCAGTTTCTGAATGGGGAAAAGCCTCTGTAGTGAGTGCTACTACCCATTCAGAAACTCATGGATGAACAGGAAGTGATGTAAATCACATCCTGTTCATTCATAACTGGTAACACACAGTACTTTGTGTCCACAGTTACTTATAAACACTGGAGTGATCAGACGATCGCTCCAGTGTTTACGCTGCACACAGAGGATCGGTAAATACCACTGATATTTTCCGATCCACAGCTCAGCCACGCACAGAGCCGCTGTCATCCTGAAACTGACAGGATGACAGCGGCTCCAAACTCCTCACCGCTCGGCCATCCTGAAAGCTGCGGCTTCTCTCCTCTGAGTCCTCACCGCTTGGCCGTCCTAACAGCAGGCAGCACTCACTCCTGCGTCCCCCCTCTGCAGGCTTCAGCTGACAGTTTCTCCTCGGAACCCCGCTGCCTCAGCCCATACAGGCAGCGGGGATCCGAGGACAGTGCTGAGAGGGGGAGGGCGGAGGAGGGATCGCTTTCATGTCAGTTGGCGAGCAGTGAGGAGGAGAGAAGCCATAGGCTGTAGCCCCTACAAGGACGAGCTGTGTCAGCCGCCTGGCGCCCTTGTTGCCATGGCGCCCTGTGCAGCCGCACAACTTGAAAACCCCAAAGGCCGGCCCTGGTCACAGGATGCTCTGGGGTCACTGGATAAACAGGTGCCTAACACAATGAGTCAGGTAAGGAACAGCATCAGGGGGTTCGGCTTCAGTGTAGCAAAGCATTGCATATACCATATACATATACCAATCCGCAGAGCTATCTTGTTAATAGCTGCGGCACTGACCAGTAGAACTGTCTCCTGCAGTGACAGCGCTCTGGTTGTAAACCGGAAGTGCTGTATTCCATCTGCCAGAGAGGAGATTTGGCATTGGATAGGGGAGGAGGTGAATGTGACAAAAAGAAGAGCATGCTTTCCTGAAGACCATGCAGATTTCCTGTATGGCAGCTACCAGATGCTGTGCCTTGCATTATGATGTGCTTTCTCTGCAGGAAAAATACATGAACAAATTTTTTTTTTTTTTTATATATCACCCATTCACACCATTCCATTACTTTAAAATATGTTGGGAAAAAGTCCTACATGTTCCATTTTTAGTCTGCTGACCTGACCTACATTTTCCCATTCCAGTCAATGGAATGAGGTCCTGCCAAAATGGAAAACAGTATATCTGAACACGTGAATAAAGCTATTGAACAAATGTAGCAAACAGATGCCCAATGGTGCTTAAGCTACACAATATTTTTCCTTATTCTTCAGCTATTTGATATCGTAGAAAAACAACCAACACATGTCTTTCTTTCATTATTTAAGTATTTACATACATACGGAAAATCCAAGTCAGGAATCCTGATCTGTATAACTGATAACTGATAATCGAACTGTATAACCTCTATGTGATTGACTTGGAAACTAGCCACACTCAATGCAATGACCTTGCAACTAATATTTTTGGATGGAGAGTTCAGGAATAGTTCGCCTTTACTTTAGTAAATGATTTATTTTGGGAGTTTTCTCCTGAACATAAAGCATGCTTTTTATATGCAAACAGATCCATCATTTCCCTTTTTTTTAAATCTCAAAGAACATCTTTCAAGATGTACTTGTTTGATGTACTGTATGTTTTTTTTAATGTTTTTAAAGCATTTGTAATCACTGTCCATCTCCAAAAAGATTAAAGTGATATTAAAGTCAAAAGGGTTTTAAGCTATTCCAAATGCTGATTAAATCACTTACAATGGATGCTGCTTCTTGATGTTGAAAAGTTTCAGTTTCCTGCAGAATCATCTGTTTCTCTGAGCACTGGCCCTGATATCCTGTTTAGGGTGGCTCCTTTCTAAAGCAGAGCTCTATGGGGCCACCCTTGTGTGTGCTAGTAAGCTGTATGTGCCTCCACAAACACACAGACACAGCAGATCAAGCTACTTCCCTTCCCTCTGGCTCCCTCTCCTCTCTCAGTTGCTGGAGATTTTGCTGTCCCTTGTGATCTTGTACTGGACATGAAGTTCAGGAAAGCTGAGCTGAGAGACTTGGAACCAGCTGTTCGGAAACGTGATGACTGTAAGTGCTTGGTCAAACATCTAAAAAAAAAAATACTTTGCTGGGCACTGTACATCTGTTTGATATGGATTCATTATTGAAAAAAAGTTTGAAGTTTAATACTGCTTTAAATTAGATCAGCTGAAATAAAATGTGTGATGCTTAGTTGAAAAACTGTGCATTCATGATAACATAATAGTCTCCTGGTTAATGTGAAATCAGGTATGCAAGTCTGTAGGAATTTTACTTATACCGTATAGCTCTCAGATGAGTCTGGCAGAAGTATGAGCATCTATTTTTAGCCAACCAATTTGAAGTAGTTCTATGTTACTTTACATTCTTACTTGTAATGAATGCAGGATCCATATTTACTGAATGTAAAGCAGCTGAAAATTATCTCACCACACAAGACAATGCTGCATTGATTTTACAGCATGCCAAACTTTTACTGATGGGAAAAGTTGATGCCAATAGAGCCGAGCTGGAACTTTTCAAGAAACACTCATAATATTGTCAGTCGCTTTGTATTGTAATGGAGCTATGTTAATAGAAGCATCACCAAAGGATGACAATGGCAGAGAGCAATTAACAAGCCAGTACATCAAATGATCACGGGTATCTCTCTGTACATGTTGTACAAGCCACAATGATTATAGCACCTTTTGTTATAGATGTATTTAGTAACTGTTGGGCTATGCTATGGCTATGTCTAATGTACAGTAACCCAAGGAAACTAATAAGGTTTTCTCATCCCCACATTGAATCTAATAAAGTATTTATGTTGCTATAAATAACTACACTTTTAATTTAAATTATTGTTAATTGTTCTACCCTATATTAGAAGCCCAGTGGTGTTTTTAGAAGCTTATCAATCCAATGTGAAACTTTGCCTGTGATAAAGAACTGCAACTGATGCTCTCTCCTTGTGCAGGGTGACTGGTCTTGTCCCCCTCCCTCCTGTAGTTTTTTGTAGGCAGCCTGTAGTGCAAGGATGGGCAGCTCCAGCCATGCTTTACTACAAATTCCAACATGCCTCTGCTTCTGGGAGTCATGCCTGTAACTGTCAGTGTTGCAATGCCTCAAGTGACTTGTAGTTCCAGAACAGCTGGAGGGCCGTAGTTGCCCAGCCCTGCTGCGGTGGATAGGGCCTGCTGGGTCCATCCCACAGCTCTGCTCACTGCACAGGCTACAGTGATGATGTCACCACTGCTTTTACAGGGTGATGTCTTGGTGGCATGTGGTGCACATGAAGTGGATTCATATAATTTATGGCTATTGAGGAGTATATTTGGATAAAAGTTTTTGGGCCCAGAGTTCAGCTTTAAACATTCACCCTCCATTTGCTAGCTGTCATTTGCAATGCAGCAAATGTCACAACAAATCTTATACATATGAGCCTAAGCTGCAATTATAGTACTGACAATGTTTTGTTAAGTTATGTAGTGTGAAAGCCTACATAATCAACCTTTCAATTTATATCCAACAACTAGCAGCTCACACAGCTGTTAGTAAATATAAAGGATATTGCGTAAACAGATTGGAATACCTTGGTAAAATGCCACTCATTATAACCACGACCACAACATTTCCTGACTTTTGTTTTTTTTATCAGCGCCTAAGTAGTAAAACAATAATTCTAATTGTTTACATCTTATGAGAAATTGCTGTGACCGACACCAGAGATATGTCACCCTTGTGCTCATTATTGTGTATTCCTTACTTGTTAAACTTCTTGCCTCATATGGCTAGCCAAAATCAGGTATCGTTTGGCCTTTCAGTTCATGCAAGAAATATAAATTGGCCTAAAATAGGATTTATCATAATATATATTAAAAGGAGGGTTGATAGTTGATCACACTGGCAGACCTTGCGGCTATGCACTAGTGTGGAGAGTTGCCTTTTGCCAAAATAATAGAGTTTGCCTGTGAGATTACAGAACATAAAAATCCCTCCCACCTCTCTTTTCTGCCTGTGTGAGTCACTCTATATTCAGAGCAGTGCTTGTATGTCTGTGTAAGAGCAGGAGCTGCAGCGACGAGTGCTGGAACACATCGCTCCTTCTGTGCAAAGAGTCAAGAGTATAGACTATAGCTTGGATGTGCCATCCTCTACAAGACAATCATTGGCAAACAATACTGGGAAATGTATAAACAAGAGAATTTTCTATAGGATTCTGCAGGTCCAGTGATCACCTGTGCACTTTACAGGCAAGGTAAGAGCAGAACTTTGGGGGATATGTACTACTGGAGAAGCAGTTTATTTATTGATCCATTAAATGCCACATCTACAGGATTTGGAAAAAGCTATTGGCTCACCTGTATGAGCAAAGAGCTATGGAAACAGCTTACTTTCTTGACTTTGTTGTGACATGATCACAGTTGTCTTGATATACAAATTGTTTTAGTTTGCGTTGACAACAAATTTATCTCCGGTAAATTTGATGCATCTAGGCGCATAGGAAGGTCAATGCCACTCTTCCCAAAAAACAATTTCCCTGTGTATGGCTCTGATGCATGGTGTCATAAAATATTTTACTGTGCAATGTGAATGGCCACACTTATTACGTGGCACCTGCAAATAGTTTTTACTCTGCATTGTACATCCCCCTCTTTGTTTTTTAACAACTTGCCATTTTTTTTATTATTGTACCTCAAAATCTTGTTCTGGTCTAGTCACTGGAAAGTCTTTGTTTTTCTTTAATAATTAAGACTGAAAGCCATTCACACCTTTCCAGTGTGGTGCATCATGGTACTGTGCACATTAGCGAGGCACACATTATGTGAGTTAGCATGTTTTGTTGTGCCATTCATTTTGAATGGCACCTCAATGCAGCTTTAACGCACATGCTTTGCAGCACACCACAAAGCCATGCCCTGTGGTGTGCTGTGTTACAAAATAGTACATGTCTGTTTTTTTGGGATCTTTTGGTGCATTGCCAACCAATCTATTTGAATGTGCTGCCTTAACGTGATGCACATTAACACGTGAAAATGCGTGAAAAACTGCATGCGTGTTAACTCGTTGTACAGGTATGCCAAATTCTGAATGGGCCATTAGTAAATCCTTTATTAGTTAGCTTTAATTAAGATTAGCTCTCATTTTAAATTGTGCCAATTCCATTACGAGTTTTAAAGCATTAAATAGTCAGCTTTTATTACAACCCATACTTGCCTGCAAGAAAACACCTAATATGGAACAAACTGCAAGAATTTACTGTGCTGCTAAACCTGAACACCTGAAATATCTAGGGGAAGATGTAAAAACGAGGACTGGTTTTAATACAGACATCTACAGATTAGACTTTTTTTCTACTTTGTTAATTTACAGGAGAAAATTATTTTATTCAGCTCTGTGCCAAAAATTGGAGCCCTGATTTTAAACTGCAGCACCTATTGTAACATAATGTAACCCATCCATTAGAATGAATAGAAAAGTGTGCGGTATTTGTTTAATTCCGCTTAATGGATTGTGACATTAACAGTTTAGTAGAACAAACAAGCAAATCATTATGGTACAGTGGCATTGTCAAATGCAACATTAGCCCTCACATTAGACAGGTGTGGTATAGGGTCAGTGAAACTTCTTTTACTGGAACAAAATAAGGGAAGATTCTGTTCATTGTTTTCACAGTCAGATTTTTTGTACATAAATAGTGTCCATTAAGCATTTTAAAATATATGGTTGTATAGGCGTCCTGTTTAAAGTAGATGTAAACACAATAACTAGTATCTCATATCAAATTACATGTTACTGTACTTTTTAAAAGTTGTTTTGAGTCTTTTAAAATCTTCAGTACTCATTAAAATAATACCTGGTGCTCCCGCCATTAAAGTGATATTAAAGTCAAAACATGGTTAAGTTTTTTCAAACCTGTAAAATCGCTTACAGTGGATGCTGTTCTTTGATGTAATAAATGTGTAGCTTCCTGCAGACTCAGCTGCTCACCTGAGCACTGGCATGATATCCTGTTTTAGGATGGCTCATTTCTTTTGCAGGGTCCTATGGAGCCATCCTTGCATGTGTTAGCAAGCTGTGTACTCCAAGGCAAGCCACTCCCCTCCTCCTCCCTCCAGCTTCTTTCCTCCCTCCTCCCTTTGTCAAGCTGGTAGGTGGACAACTGCTGGAGACTGTGCTGTCCCAAGCAAACTAAATGTGTTCCAGTCAGTGTTTACATATACTTTAATGTGTTAAGCATTTCAATACAGATGTTACAAAATGAAACAGGTATTTTTCTACTGCAAAAGAAAATAATAGGAAAATATATGGAAATTGGCCAGATACAAAGTACATTTAATTTAGCAAAGTGGAAACTAGGAGTTGTAAAGTAAACTATAGGTATAGTTTCATGATACCAGAGGTGTCAAAGTTTGGACAATATAAGTTTTACAATAAATATCTTTCTGTGAATAAAAAGATTAACTAGCATCTTTACAACAAGCAAGCAGCTGGCCATGTATTGGACAGTAAGATTCCATAGTATGATGTTCAATTAAACATCATTGACCCTACATTATAAAAAATATTTTGGAACAAGTTAATATCTTTCTATAACCTCACACTGGGGAGCTGCTCTGTGAATTTCAGCCCTTAGCTCATTAACTTCTACTGAAGTGCCAAGGGACTCAGAAGTCTGAATTTCTGACTTAATTTTGTCCGAACCACTTATTCCACTGAAGGCTAAGGGCTATAGAGTTTTTGTCATATTCACAGTACCTGTACAGTTCTATGGATATCTATGGCATAGCTTTTCCCTAATACGTAGTTTGTGTTAGGACAAGTCATTGTAGGTAGTCAGTTTTCACATGGCCCTTGGTTCTTTGGAAGTGAATAAGTGGAAGGTTGTTTTTCCCTGATTAAACTCCCCATTAAACTATTTAAATAAGGTTACAAATTCCTTAGTCAATCCAATGTCAAGGGTAAATACATTGTACGCCATTAACACTCATTCTCTCCATGTGGCATTAATCTTATCCCCTTGATTTTGACTGGACATTGGTTTTGTAACCCAAAAGTTGCATTTCTCAAAAACAAATGGTACAAATCATATTATCTAGAGACCTAACAAATGGCCTTTAGGTCCCTGGCCCACTGGTTGTGAATCATTGATATATATCATGTTCGGCCCCATTCACACTGAGCGACACTTACCTCGAGCGGATTTCCGTGCGGCCAGGATAGCACAACTGTTCGGGTGATGATCGCGCGACCTTCACCGCCGGGCTGCATGCAAAAAAAGAAAAATCGTGCGACATCTGCTGGAAAAAGGGTCCTGCACAAGCGACGAGCGACAGGCGACATAGAGCTGCACAATAGAACAGCTCCATTAAAAATCATTGGACGGCGACTTCTCACGATATCGCGCGGCAGATATGCGTGCTATCGCGGCGGAAATCACGCGATTAAATGCCCAGTGTGAATGGGCACTTAGGTACATGCTACTATTGTTGTAGAATCCTTTAAACTGCCAAGGACATAGAGAACTTTTAAAACTAGAAAGGAAATGCATTTTATATTATTGAAATATAAGTGAACTCTAATGTTCCATGTGGTAAACACTACTAAGTTATACAGTATGATACTATTACCTAAGATTGCAATGGGTACTAGATGGCGCACTTTATGGTGTAACAGACTGCCAAACGTGGGCACAAAATATTTGCAGAGACATGCACATTCATATATTTGGGCGTGGATGGCTGTGCACTCAGCGCTAGCAACACCCCAGTATTAACTGTTAACTAAAAGGAAGAACAGTCAACTTGCAACACTACTCAAAAAAGACAGATTCTTTTCCTTTAGAGCCTATCGACCAGGTGTGTCTGCTGCAGTTTGAATTAATTTATAGACATCTACAGGTCTTTTCACTAAGGGGGTGAAGAGTTTGGAGAAGGTGGGGACGTGAACAATCTAGGCCAAAATAACTGATTTGGAAACATTCTGCTCACTTTCCAGTTCAGCTATGTTGTCCTAGATTGTTCGCTTCTCCTGCTTTATCCAAACTCTTCACCCTTTAGTTAATAGCCCCGCTGGATTGTTATCACATCCTGAAATCAACTGGATCAGTCAAAAATCACCTAATTTCTATGAGTAAAAAATATCATTTATCTGGAGCAAAAGCTGACCTATTTTCATTGTTACACACAAAAGTTTCCAAAAGAAAAAATAAGGATAGTTTTTCCAAATCAGTGTTGTGAAAAATAAATTAGAAGTGTGTCAACTATTTTCTGTTGCACACATTCTTGAATGAAGTGGATTGCAATAAAATAGGTGCAGTTTAAATACATATAGGGAAATGTATCAAATCTGGAGCAGCTGTGCATGGAAACCAATGAGCTTCTCTCTTTCATTTTCAAACCTTAACTGAACAAACTGAAGTGAGAGAAGCCGGTTTGTTGCCATGGGCAACTGCTCCCGATTCTGTCTGCTCCAGTTTTGATAAATTCCCCCCACATAATCTGACTATGGCAAGGGTTACCATAGTGTCATTTTTGAGTTTTTTGGACACTCCTTTAAGATCAGACAGTCAGCTCTTGGGCTGAATGTATTGTGCCAGCCAGTCCTGGAAAAGTTAGCAGTGTTTTAAAATCTATACTACTTTATTTCAATTACAGTGAAGTTATTGATTTTCAAATAATTTGGAAATCTTTTTAAATCTATTGCCAGGCTCATAGGCATCCACACTTTCAAAGGGCCTTAGAGAGCTCTTTTGATCTTGCCATGATGGCCCACCACAGGTCAATAGCAAAGCAAACAACAGACCCTAAATATCAGAGGTTTAAATAAGACAGGTTCCACCTGCATGCTCCCTAAGGAAGTCCTCATCACTGGCATCTAATCTGGAACACCATATTCTAATTTCATGGATTTCGAGTGGTGGTGAATGCAGGATTGTATGTACTTGTAACAAATTAGCATTTTTGTTCATTTAGATTATGTGAATAAATATACCTTGTCATTGTGTGTTATATGTCCAGATATATAACCTTTGTACGGTGGCAGAGTTGAAGATCTAATGTTTGCCTGTTTGAATATGTTGAAACACATTGAAATGCCATCCAGTCCACTTCACCTGTTACAAAGATTTTTTTTTTAAAATATATTCTGCCATTCACACACAGTTCAGTGTAAAACTGATTCAGTACTTTCTGAACATATAGTGCTGAAGAATGTTCCTATTTTACCACCTTGAAAGTAAAGAAAATAGCATCATCT